TTTCATAATTAATTGCATTTCTTCGTTTCTCCTGATGTTCAAGACCTTTCCTTGCTTCTGATGGCGCTCTGGAAGGTCCACCTGTAATTTATACAAGAAAAACATTAATTTTACTAATTGTTAATAAAAGTTATAAACAATTTCCGACGAATCTACCGAATTCAATGGTTAATTCAGTGCGAAATTAACATGTTAAGCAGTTCTATTAAGGTAAAGCTTACAATAATTTTATTTAACACTTGCAACAGTTATAAACAACCATCTAAATTGTTATTTAGCAAGAAACACTAGTTATTCTACAATTAAAATACTTGAAAGTAAAGTTTAAGCTTTATTTCACTATCTACTCGCTACAAGTAATGTTAACCGAATGAAATATTTATAATAAATGTTAAATGTAAAATGCCTGCTGCATGCAATTGTTAATTCAATACGAAATTAACAATTTAAGCTATTTTATTAGGTTAAAGCATGCAATAATTCTATTTAAGACTTCCAATAATGATAAACTACCATCTAAATCATTATTTAGGAGAGTTGCAACTTTGTTGCGCGAATCGCTCCCGAAAATTGCACATTGTTGCAAACGCGTTATCGGGTTTGCAACTTTGTTGTCCCGAAAATTTCACATTGTTGCACGGCGCGCCGTATTGCAACAATGTGCAATTTTCGCGAGCGATTCAATGCAACAAAGTTGCAAACGAAGAATCGCATTTGCAACTTTGTTGTCGAAAGTCGCCCCCGAAAATTGCACATAGTTGCAAAACGGTGCGTCGTGCAACAATGTGCAATTTTCGAGAACGATTCGCGCAACAAAGTTGCAAGCGCTGTAACGCGTTTTGCAACAATGTGCTTTTTTCGGGAGCCCGCGCGGGTCACAGTGTTGCAAAAGAGTGATCGCTATTGAATTACTGGGATATTGTAACCTTGTGTAAAATGAAATATGTTTTAAACAATGAGGTTTTCGCAAAGGAAATGGATGTGGTGTCTAAGGGAGAGATGAATAAGATTGTAAAATGCTGTAAAACAATACTGGTATATTGTAACCTTTTGCAAAATACATTTTGTACACTTATCTTACAATAAATCAATGATTTTTTGATAAATAATTGCATTTCTTCATTTCTCCTGATATTGAATCCTTTCCTTGATTTCTACGGTGTGCTGGATGGTCCATCTGTAATTCGTACGAAAAAAAAATATTAATTTTACAGTTAAAGTACTTGAAAATTAACCAGAAACTTTATTTTTCTATCTACATTGTTAGTAATGTTAAAGTAATTAAAGATCTTTTGTATTGCATGATTGTTTATATTAAAAGCGAGAAATTCATCAAAATTTCTATTTTAAAAATCAAATGTCTGGTAATAACTTAATTTCTGACAATACTCTCTATGACACACTCAATCTTTCTCCTTTGAACGTTGATGCAGACTGAACAGAACAATTCTCCCAAGCAAGAACTGCGTGATCAAATATTTCTACTTATTTTTCTTTATATCGAATTTATATGTTCTCTTTACATATATACGTAAGAATTTGGCGGATAATTCAAATTTTCGCGGTTTCTCTCTCGTAAAATGCCGCTGTTATTTTCTACGGTGCATTCTATTGCAACGATACTTTACTATCTACATTCACTACTACGCATGGCTGTCAACGTGAGAACGAAGTTATCTTGACTAATCTTAACAACGTTGAACTACGCAGTTCTTGACGACGTTAATGACCTGATCACGCATTCAAAGTGAACCAGAATTCCTTTTTCTGCTATTCAGTATCGCATATCTTTTTGCACATTTTTAAAACACACGTCTTTGAATCATCTTGTGATTGTTACGTCGGGGTGTTTGTGGTGTATGAGCAATTGGTGATCACGTTGAATCATCATCGAAAGTAATTGTCAATCTGAACTCATCAGAGGCACAAGAATCATCATTATGTGCGCGAAAATGGCTTTTCAGCATCAGCCTGGCACTGCTATGGAATGCTTAAGCGTATGTACATTTTATTTATGTTAAAATATTATGAAACTTAGTTAATGCTAATTCGATGATTGTCATGTAATTTTTAGGCGCCGTGTTTTATGACTAATTCAGTTTTTTTATGTTTTCAGTAATATATAATTACATTCAAATTTTTTAATACATAACTGAATATTTTTAATTCAAGCTTGATTTTCATTGTACTTAAGGTACATCATCAAAACAGTTTATTAATAAAGGATACTAGTGTAACAATTAATACTAAATCAACTGTTTTGAGACACTGTATGTTATTTTTTTAGATACCAATTACATTGGTCAAAGAAACGGGTGTTAATGAAAATGGTGAACAGGTGATGAAGTGTGGTTTCAAAATTGGAGGTGGGATTGATCAAGATTTTAGGAAAAGTCCACAGGGTTATACAGATAATGTAAAGAGATTAATATAATCTTGTTTTTATCAATGTTTATCGTGTTACTAATTGATGTTATTTTAGGGCATATATGTAACTGAGGTACATGAAGGATCACCAGCAGCAAAAAGTGGGCTACGTATGCATGATAAAATTTTACAGTGCAATGGATATGATTTTACAATGGTAACTCACAAAAAAGCAGTATCTTATATCAGAAAACATCCAGTATTAAATCTATTAGTAGCTCGTAAAGGGGTAACCAGTACTTAAATACCAAATGAAAGGTCTATTTGGTCTAAGAGAAGTATTTATTTCACTCTATACATTAACAGAGTCAATTTATTGGAGCTACATGTCTGCCAAATATCATATTAGATTATGACCAGTAGTAAGATATCTTTGAGTTAGTTTTGCAAAAGGATTAAATACTTGGAATTTTACTTTTTATATCTTAAACTTTATCAGCAACAAGTATCTACAATTCCAGTTGAAATAGAGGCATAATGTTAATTAATGCACATTTGATAATTGTTATGGTTGTTTTGCAGGTATAATATCTGTTTCTAATTGCAGTAGAAGTAGAGCATTAGAACTCTAGATTGATATAGATATATATAAAAATCCTGTTACGATTCGTTATTGTTGTTAAAAAAAAATATTTGTATGAAAACGTTTTTCTAATAACAGGTGTCAGCAAATAATGCTATTAATCATGTACAATTATGCTTAAAAACCATAATTTACATGTGCCTGCGTAAAAATCGTACTGTATAATGTTTATTGAAAATCCATATGAATATTTCTTTCCACCATATATATATTTATATACAAAAAAGAGAATTCATTTGAATAATAAGAAAGAGTATTTCTTAATTGATTTTTAACAAAAGAAATAGTTGTATGGATGGAAGTCATGATATTTTAATTCTTTAAGTATTTCTATATTGTAAAATATAACAAAATGCCAAAGCATAATGAAGTTACACTAGCTTAGATACACAGCATACCTTTTACAAAATTTTGTATTGCTAGTATATCAGTATATTACTGTAAGACTCGTACAGAATTCTTTGAAATATATGCATTTAAAATATTTACAATGACTAAAACAATCATACAATAAACATTGTTTTAATATCTTTAACAGATACACAAAATATATCTAATTTATGTGAATAAGTATATTAAGGTATGTGCAACCGTTGCATTTATAAGCATTTACACACTCATTGGAACAAAGAGAATATCATTGAGACTGTACATTTTGAGACCAATAGAAGTATTGTATTTTCTATTTTCGAAAGTTTTTACTTTAACTAATAACGAATGTTTCAATGCATTTTCGTAAGGTTTTATATGTAAGAAAGGGCAAAACTTTTGTAATTTATCTTAAATTGGCTACAAATGTACAATAAGTGAAACAAAAGGAAAAGTTCCTGTAATAATATGTACGATTTTCTTTTATATCCCAAGTTTCTAATACATTCATGGTGAAAACATCGAACCATTTTATAAGAGATAATATAATACGTTGTCACAATTTTGTAACTAGTCTGCTAATATGAAGAAGATTTAAAAAGAATTTGTAGAACATAAATTATTATGCGTGCGATAATTATGCATGCACGTAGTACTTTAAGATTTTTGTATAAAGCCACAGTGTGACAAATTATACGCGTTAATTTGATTTGCACTTATATTAATATTATATGTTATTTATTGCCAAAAATATGATTAATATAGAGAATTATGAAACAAACTAATGACCTATATTGTGTAAATAACAAATAAATATCTTACAACACTCTAACTAAAATTATACTTCTATTTTATTTCTAAAACCCACTCTATAAAACTTCGAATATTTTAATATTTAAAACTTTCAAAAAGTTAATTCCTTTATCTTATCGCCATTACATTACGTTAGGAAATGTTTTACAATTTATTTGTATTTATCATAATATTCGTATTACACATTAATTAAATTAGAAAAAAATTACACCAAAAACAATTGTAAAATTAAATTACGTGTAATAAATAAAATTCCGTACTATATTCTATTTAATCTATGGTCTAAGTCGTATCAGAAAATTTAAGAATTTTATTTGAAGACATATCACACGCTTATTCGTTTAAAAGTAAACTATATATTATTTAAATTTAATCTATAAAAACAGAGAAAATATTCGTAAATTGATAAAATACTATTTAACTTTAAAAATCTTTACATGAAAACGCGTCATAATGGCCGATGCTCGCGCGTCGCCATGAACTTAATAGCATATGATGACGTGTCTAAAGTTCACTACGTGGATGGTATGTGTATGACACGTTGCTTCTTACTGTGCTTCGTACTGGTAGTAAACGTTCAAATTAATCCATAGAAGGAAGTTGACTTCGTACGAAACAACAATATAAAGTGGCTTTGCTTTAGTACTCCTTTAATGTTTATCGTAATTAGATAACGATACGTTTGTTAAAAAAGTAAAAGAAATTGAGATCTTTGTTCATCGTGAGTTTAGACAAAATTACAAATTATAATACAAATTTTTTGTGATCATCTGGTATTTGTTCACGGATCAACGTAAAAAAAAAAATAACAAATAATGGTGAGTAATTTAATAAGAGTTGAATTAAAAACGAAATACAATTTTTTTTTTATGTAGAATTTTATGGTTATACTGTGTTTACATTTTTAAGCCTGCCGCACCTAGTTCTACATCGGTCGGAGCCGCGGGACGATCGCCTAGCAAAGCTATAGCACCTAGAGCAGGTGGTGGTGGTACTGTTAGACAAAGGAGAACTACAACAACTACTTCAACTAGGAGTAAAAACACTGGAGTTGGTTCTGATGGCATGTGGAGGTTTTATACGGATGACTCTCCTGGCATCAAAGTGTAAGTAGATGTAGAATCTTATAAAATCATTAGAATCAATGTTTCTTTGTGGAGGATATTAGCAATTTTGAGAGAAAAGAATTTAACTGATGATATAAATATGTTTGCAGAGGACCTGTGCCTGTACTTGTTATGTCTCTCCTTTTCATTGCATCTGTGTTTATGCTTCACATCTGGGGCAAATACACTAGATCTTAAGAATGGAAATAGATTCTAATTTATGAAGGAACTGAAGAAACTGAAAAGTCCTGTGCAGTGCAATGGAAAAGAATGAAGAAAATCTAAGTTTTAAATACTTTCTAAGTGGAAGATCAGTATGCCTTGTAAAAGTTTGCTACATTTTAATCTTATTTCTGAATTGATTCAAGAGAATTGGGGCACTGTGTATTATAAGTTATATTTCCATTAAATGGATCTCTACATTTTTCGTCAAGATGTAAGACCAAATTTTACCGCGCGATCATAAATACTTATTGTAATCATTTATTTTCATCAAACTGAATTTTGTAACGTTTGTAAGAGGATACCTCGAAGTTAATTGTACGCACGCATCATGCGTGATTGAGATAAGACATACTAGTTATTGTTTGTAAAGTTACTATTATGATAATATAATGTACAATATTAAAATAAATTATTCTTAACCCAATTTAAAAAAAGCAATCTGCAAAGCTAATTCTTTTCGTGCCCATCCATTTCCATATAACTGGAAGAAGATCGAATTCAATGCACATCGAACGTTTCTAAAGGATATCTGATAAAAGATGCGTATTGTCTTCAGCAGTACAATACGAATGAAAAGCGTAATGCGCCATGTTCCATTTAACTGGAAACTCATTCGCGCTCGCGTGTATGTATTGATTCCATACTGAATGGGCGCGGATTGCAGCGCTCTGCAAAAAGAAGCAATCATGATAAATTAACTACGAGAAAACAGAAAAACAATCGGTTATTTTATCGGAAAACCAGCCAAGAGTGCTCTCATGAAAACATTACCTATACAACTATCAAGAACAGTGTATACACATTCTTACAAATATAACATATAAACAGAAAATTTCCATAAACAAAAATTCAACATATTTCATTGATAACATCTTTCAGATATCTAAAAATATTTTAAATAACAAAATCCATACATTCCTTTGAATTTCCAATTTTTCAACATAAACATTCCAACGTACCCCATCAGTTTTATCTTCTCGTAATGAAAATCTTAAATAAAAACACTCGAAATGAACAAGATTATTGAAAGAATCACGGAAATAATGATAGGAAGCCCTAATGTCAGATAATTAACGTGAATCGAGAAACCCAATAGGTCGACACCATAGAGTACCAAGGAGAGGGAGACGCGTTATGCGGCAAGAAAAGGATCGAGCTAGACGAGGAGCGTCCGATGCGCTCGCAGTCGATTCATAGCACGTGATCATGGGTTTCTAGTTTTAGACTCGACATTGAATCCCCTCGTAGTCCTGCCGCTGCCTGTCGCCGCGGGTAGAAGCAGGTCCACCCGTTCTGCCAGTTGCTGCGATGAGGCTCCTCTCTCTCGAGGTAATCGTCGTTTTCTCTTAACTGAATGCACCTTACACAGACGGCGTTCTCTGCCAACCAGAAATTCGGCGTCTTCGCAGCACGAAGATATTCTGGGCGCGTTGAAACGTCTGTGCCACTCTCGGGGTGACAGTGACTGGTGCGATTCACATTCATCTCGTAGCGTTCGATGCAGAACTTGAAGATGACGGTCAATCGAGTAACGGTTAACGATATCACTTTCGATTTTTGTCGACACTGTGATGGTTGAATTTGTGAATAGTGTTGGCGTTGTTTTTGGTTGATAATTTCGAAGGAATTGGCAGAAATTCTTGGTGTTAATTAAAAAGATGATAGAAAAAATTTGATTTTTCGTTGACGAATATTATTTTGAATAAATAATTGAAATTAAACGCTTGTTTCTTTTTCTTCTACTTTTGTTTTTTAAAGAAAAGTATGTTATTTCTTATTTCGTCGCTGGTTAAAGATTGAATTCAGACAGTACGATGCAAAAGTTTCGAATTAAAGAACGGTAAGTACATATAATGACATTTTTCTTTTTCCGTTTCTTTATGAATGAAAATATTCCGTATGTTTCTAGCGTGTGAAATAATAGAGTTCGTTCAAGTGCCGTGAATATATGCGACGAGTGAAATGTCGTTCTTTACGATTCTTTTTTACGATAATAGCTAACGAAATTGAACTGCATTGCGACGCTCTACGTTGCGAAAGCAGTTACCTAAATAAGGTTGATTAGAATTTACTTCGATTAGTCAAACGTGCAATAATACGAACCTGATGATTTTCTGCAAAGATACCTTTTTATGGAAAAATCATATGAAATTTTAATGAAAATTATCAATTCTCGGTACAAATTTTTAATTTAAGAAATAAAGCTTTTTATATACGTTCCATTCATTTTTCAAATATTCCCTTGAAAACTGACTACAATAAGCAACATTTCTCTTCCTGTTTATTTCTTAATGCCACGCTCTTATAAACATATTCTTCGTGTTGAACAGGCAAGTATAATATACATAAACCGATATGATCGATATAATGAAAAACATCTGAACACCAAGGCCTCTCACACATGAAATAAAATAGAATCATAAAAATATCAGGTGTCAGGTTTCTGTGTCATAATATACAATCCTCTCAGGTCTGATTAAACTTTGGCCTATACCACTAGCCACGCAATATACTGTTCCAACTACAAACATTTTCTTACCTCGAACATACTAACGATAAAAAAATAATTTCTCCTTCTAAATCATAACAATTAAAACAACGCACTTTAAATAACACTACACAAGAAATAAACGAAAAAATATTGAAATTGAACGAATTAAAATGAGCAATTGTAAACAATATTCCTAGTCTGTTAATTTGTCGTTTTACAATTACAGGATTGCTACCAGATAATTTAAACGTCATTTTTTTTAGCAAAGAAGATTTTATAAATTTCTCTTTAGCCACCGTGTACAGTGGCTTCGTTAACAATTCCAGATTCGAAAATAGTTCATCGCGCGCGGGAGTTGGTAATCAACGAGGATCAATGGCGGTCGATATTTTGGACGAGGACCACTTCGCGGTGAGCGCGATCGTCACTGTTGGTATGCAAATCATCTTCTTCACGATAGCGGCGACCTTCCAGTTGGACAAGTTGACGGATTTCGCCGGCGGCACGAACTTCATCATTCTCGCCCTCCTCACTTTCTTTCTCGGCCAAGTGGGCAAGGTATACTCTAATTATAAAACCGGTTTCGCGTAAGTACGTGTGTTGTGTGTATGTGCGAATACAAAACGCGAATCGTCTAATCAGAAAACAGCGTAACGTTTGTTTTAACCGCCATAATTTATTTTCGTTGCACCGTTTGTTTTCGTAATATCTTACAAGCTTTTGTAAGCTCTTATACAAAATCGATTGTACGAAATATATATGTATGTACATTTTTTTTTTCTTTCTTTCTTTATTTCAGCCTTATGACAGTAGACAGCTTATGGTCACTATATTCGTTTGCCTATGGGGTCTTCGTTTGTCTGGATATCTGTTGTATCGAATAATTAAAATCGGCCGTGACAAGAGGTTTGAAGATCGTCGCAGTAACGTGATACGTTTCGCTGTGTTTTGGACGTTTCAGGTATTGGCCGTATATAGGATGGTCTTTTTCAAAAATGAACTATCTATTATTTTACCATAATCAGTCGCAAAGGTGAACAATTTTTTTATTGATTTTTTAGGCTGTATGGGTTTATGTGGTAAGTTTACCGGTAATTATCATTAATTCTCCAAGACACAAAATACCACCTGCTCCCAAAACAATGACAACACTGGACAGTGCTGGAACTGGACTCTTCGTGACCGGTTTATTAGCCGAAACTTACGCTGATTTACAGAAATTCTCGTTTAAACAGGATCCAGTGAATAATGGAAAATGGTGTAACGATGGTACAATTTATACTCTGTATATCGTAAAATTCCACAATTCGCGTAATACAAATTTCTTCTACCGATAAGTTCGTCCTTTATCGCAGGACTATGGCGACTGTCCAGGCATCCGAATTATTTCGGCGAGATAGTAGTATGGTGGGGTATTTTCGCGATATCCTTGAATGTAATTGAAGGTGTCGAATGGGTCGCTATAGCCTCTCCGATCTTCACAACGTTCATCATTCTATTCTTATCCGGAATGCCTCTATTGGAAAGAGCCGCCGACGAGAGATATCGTGAGTGAGTATCCAGTTTACAGCATTCGATGATCTCTTCACATCTGTTAGAAGAATACGTCTAGCGAACATCTCAATGAGTTTTCAACGTTTGTTAAATTTTTCAACATTTGTAATACATAGAATTATTTTCACTTTTTTTCCCCTAGTAATGCTGAGTATCGCTACTACAAGCAATCTACGTCGCCACTGATACCATTGCCACCATCGGTCTACATCGAGGTGCCATACTTCCTAAAATTCCTCTTCTGCTGTGAATTCCCGCTGTACGACTCGTTAGACGTGAAACCACGATCAGCTGTTACCGAATCGACATCGATAAGTCTGGCTGCGTCCACGTAGCTATAGCCACACGTCGGGCGTTCAAATTCCGAGTCCGGCGTGCAATCTGCCACGGCTAGCACAGCATTTTGAGGAGGCTGCTATGATTATTTACGTTTTATCGTTCGTACAGTTCTTGCTGATTGTTTCACTCGATCAAGTATGGACCGATGGACGTGAAACTCCACGTGGTTAGAAATTGGAATGAGTTTTAAGGAATAAAACGTTTGAGAAATATTCATCTGCCGTGGAGGCAACAGTTTTCAATCGTATATTGATGTTTTGGGGATTTAAGTTCGGAAAGTTGCATCAGAAAGTCAAATCAAAATGATAATTGTTGGAAGCAATGTGTATTACGATATTTTACTAGTCGTGAACAAATTGGGAAAAAGTTATTTTTTAAAATTAACGAACAGCTAAAATTATTCGATACATAGAAAATTTTTGGAGTTGAAAATTCTCGAAAAGAGAATGATAAGAGACGCTAGAAAGTATGAAGAATGAAATCAGACTTCAAATCGTAATCACACTACCTCGAATATGATGTCCTCGATTTGACGTCGAGTTCATCATGATATTTAGATTAATGCATATATATATATATATATAAAGAAATACAAATGACAAAGATAAATGTGCGATAGATTATTCTAGATACTCGAAGCTATATAGTACGCGCTGAAATTACGTCTGAAGAAGATAGGTACTGTTGGTACTTGTTTGTTTCATAAAATACTCGACAGTGTAAATTATCTCTGATCATTGATTACTGTTTATAAGATTTTTTTTCTTATAGGACAGACATTTAATTTCCTTTTGAAAATATGATTAAAGCAATGATAATATTTTAACGAAACTTTCAGAGTATAATTAAAAATATTTTTGGACCAGTAGGGACCAGATGTATAGCGATATTAGTTGCTTACGTCTATTTTTACATGTCTAAGAATCTGGCTTTCGAAAAGTAACTTGCCAGCAAGTTAGAAGATTAATAAGAATACTATTAGAGTGAGGAAAAGAGAGTTGGTACTTGAAAATTTGTTTTCAGCCCCAAAGTTGATTATTGCTGATTTATAAATCTATTGAAACATTCGCCACGAAGTAAGGATTGTTTGAAGGAAAGTTGATTAAATACGAAAGATTTTAGAAAAAAGTTAACTATGCATAGAAAATAAATTGTTGTATAACCAGAGTCAACTCTAAAAATTTCGAAGAAATAAGAAACTATCTGAGTGATACTGATTAAATGTATATAAATTAATTCTAGCGTTTAAAATTATAGCAATATTATACATATCCTAGTGCCGAGTAGAAAATCGTAAAAGAGAGCTATAATTAACAAATAAAGAGTATTATTTAGCTGTATTCTTTTAAAAGCAATCACTGTGAAAGCTAATGTTCTTAAATTTTTCTTATAAAGATAGAAGTATTATTGTTCGTTGTTGATTTAACTCTATCAGCACAAACAAGACACACGTTTAAAAAGAGTACAGCTACAGCTGAACATTACGCCAAATTAGAAGTATTATAACGCAAGCGATCCCGAGGATTCGTTTCAATCGTTCGTTGTTATGTAAATCTCCAGATTTTAGATAATAAACAAGAGTTGGTCCAATTATTCCCTTTATTCTAACCAAAATGCATCATCCGTCAATTTTATTCTCTTCGTCGTATGGTACGTTTAAGTAAACTCATAATATTGAACAAAATATCGATCATGATTAATATATTTTTTTTTTGTTTTATTAAATCTCTAACTCGACATTGACACTTGATCCTTACTTATTATTTATAATATAATGCATAATATATCGTTCTATTTGTTTCTAATTATTTTAGTTCCATTTACGTATCCATATAAAACTTATATAAAATTTATGAAAAAGAATTATTGATCGTACAACTTATACAGGACGTATGTACACATTTATTATGTTATAACATAATTAAAAGAAAATTAAAATGAGATTATCTGAACAATGATCCTAACACGTTCTCTGCCGCAATAAAAGAAATAAAATTTTTCTTAAAAAAAAACGTAAAACTAAATTACGTATCGCCTAACCTAATTTGCATGCAACGTACTTACGTGCTACTTTAGAAATGCACATAAAAAAGTGTGGTCGCAATACAGGCAATATAAAACAAAATAGAACTCAACCTTTTCAAAAAGAAAAAAGAAAAATATATCGTTCATCGTATCAGGTCAATTAATAAAGATCGATGAAAATTTCGTAAAGATCACATTATATTTATAAACACATTTTATTTGTTCGTATGTATATCGTTAATAAATGGTGATATAATAATGACAATGAAATGTATAGCGCCGAGCATAAAACGAGCAGTCATATTATAATTATTATTAATATTCCTCTTATAATAATCTTACTGTACTGGATGTGTGCCTACCTACTGTGCTTGCAACGTTTATGGTCTTGTCCAAGTGTTTTCTTATTACTTTTTTTATTTTTCCTTTCCTTTCCTCGTCACTAATCTTTAATTATTTATTACTTTACTCGTACTCGTAATAATCCATAATAATTAATAATAATAATAATGTAACCACGGGTGTAAACGTATGCGTTGTCCTAAGGTATAAACAGCTTCCACACACTAATTGTTTACTTGTTTTTTTTCCTTTTGTCCTTTATGTAATCGTAATCGTCGTTTAATTATAGTAAGCTACTTAAATATTAATTATATTAACCTCGTGTCTTCGTGGAATTATTTTTCCGGCCACGCTTCATTGAAAGCCGGCCTCGTACAAAAAACATTCAATTCCCGTTCGATATAACATTATATATCAAAATGTCTGTACGTGTGTGTGTTTTATGTGTACGTGCGTGTATGTCTGTGTGTTTTTTCTTCATTTCGATGCGTGAAAGACACTTTTTTGTATTTTCTTTTCTTCTTTTTTTTCTTTTTTTTTTTACTTCGTCATGTAAAAATTTTTCTCACACATCCGAAGAAAAAAAAAAGTCATCTAATAAAGTTGAACTAACACACGGGGCAGCACAGCGTTTCATTCGTTTTTCTTTTTCTTTTATTCTTATGTTTGTTTCGTTTCCGAGTACCGAAAGGAAACCCAGATAGAGGAGATCGATGTTTGCTTGTGCCTCTTTCCAGTCTTTTTTGTTCTTTTTCGTTTGTTTTTTTTTTTTTTTTGTTTTCCGACGAAAGAAAAAGAAGAAACAAAGCGCCTGAACGATTTCAAGGCGCAGAGACAGCGTCGTTCCCGCACCCGGCGACGCCGTCACTCGGATTGCATCCGTGCATACACAATACAAATATCTCTAATAATATACAAATCATCGTAAATATTATTTGTCGCCGATCCGTAATCGCAGATGATTCTTCGTTCGTCGGGGGACGTTGTCAATAGAATTGTAAAAACCAGTCAACCCGAGAGCGTGCGCGCGCATGCACGCACGCGGGAATGGGTATACTCGAGACGAGTCGTACAAAGAAGTAAAAAAAGAATGAAAATTTGCTTCGAAGCTGACGCGGACGAAGCAGTGCCTGTAGAAGGCAAAGTTAAAAAAAAAAAAAAGAAGCAGTGTTACTACCCCATCCCCTTTTCCCTGATATATCTGACGATTTGATCTCTGATCATCGTTACGTGAAAAACGATTCTTCAGAGATCGCTCGAGCATCCAGATGAATCAGAAAGGAATCTATATCTGTGCTTGAGTGGTATGAGACTCGAATCAACGCGTGTCTGATTGTGCCAGAACAATGATCAAAAAGATTCAAGATCTCCACATCGGAAACGGCGATTCTAAAAGTGCGCGAACAGATATAACTGAAGAGCACGATCAAACGAAGATCATAATGTAATATACGGCACGTTGCTGGAACGCTAGGTACGTAACTCATTTTGCACAGTAAGAGCCAATGGTATAAGAAGCGACCGCAAGACGCTTTCCCCCTGAAACAGTGTCAGGGGCGCTATCTATCGTCGTGTATCGCAACCATAAATGATCTCGCTCCTTCGAGTTTAAAAACTGCATCGTGTACAACACGCATCATGTCTTCTAGCACGATGGTACGATGCATATTTTGGCCACAAGTTCATCGAAGAAGATCTCTCACACACCTGCATGTGTCAGGCTATTGCATTTGATATATTGCAAAACCTACGATATTCTAATGACTTATGAGATAGCCCCGTTCTGTTATTATTCTTGCCTTCATTTTTTTTTTATCATCTTTCTTATATTATTTTTCTCGCGGGGGGAAAAAGGGCCCTGGGTCAAATATAATAATAAAGTTTGTTGTTGTTGTTCGATCGGGTGTGCTGGGGTGTAGATGAGAAATGGCGTAACGTATTACGAACGTATATAAACGAAGTATTTAACATTATGAGTCTATTAATATCTATACGTATAGTAGAGAGCTCTAAACCTGAAACCCCCCTATCCCTCTCTTTCTCTTGCACTCGTCGAATTTTCTCTCTCTCTCTCTCTCTCTCTCACACACACACACACACACGCGCATATTTTCTCTCCCTTTCGCTCTCTCTTTCATACGCATTTTATCCCCTTCCCCCTTTATCTCTCATGCTCTCTACACATTCTCTCTTTCTCTCTCTTTCGCTCTCTCTCTCCTTCCATTTCTTTACGTTGAACATTCACGCAGAACACATTCACACTCGTACACGTACGCATTCTTCCTCTCATCCTCTACCTCTCCCCATTCCCCTCCCTCACCCACATATCTCACCAGATCACACCCTCAATTTTCCGCAGTTTTTAAATCTTCTTTTCCCCTTTTATCTGTTTTTTTTTTCTCCTTATTTTTTGAACGACTTATTCTGCTTCTTATCCCATCGAGACAGCTTATTTCCCTTCTTTCTCCTTTTCTTTGTTCTCGTCAACCTCCTTGCCCTCCTTCTCCAACTCCTTCTCCTCCTTGTCTGCCTTCTCCTTGTCACCCTCCTTCTCTTCCTTTGACTCCTTCGACTCCTTCGCCTCCTCCTTGCCCTCCTTCTCCTCCTGCTTCTCCGGCTTCGGTAGATGTGTGTTCATGTCGAGGGTGGAGCAGATCTCGTCCCAATCCGGGAAGCATCGTTCCTTCATGCGCGAGCAATGCCCGACCAGGTTCGGACAGTTCTCCTGCATGTAGTCTCGTAAGCTGTAAGATGTGTCCTTGTCGATGTAGAGGATTTGAGCAAGATGCGCAAACGCCACCACGTCCAACTGTTTCAACACAGAGATGTAAAAACGGTTTTATTTTTATTAGTCGTTGAATGTGAATACTTTCAATTAGTGAACGGAGGGAAAAAATTTACCGTAGTTGGTTCGTCTCCAAAGAAGAACGGCTTGTCAGCAAGCATGTCGGAGAGAACCTTAAGATCGGTACAACCGAATTGGGACACTTCTTCAGGGGTATGCACACCCATACCCTGTGCCTTCACTTTCTTCGTGCCCTATAACAAATTCCATATGTTATTCAAATGATTTAATAATCCCTATATTAAATTGTGCTTGAAAGTAACGTGTACTTTTTTATTTTAAACGATATATTATAATTTATAAAAACTGTATATTCTAGCTATAGTTTGTGTTAAAGATTGACAGTTCAAAGACCCCCCCTTCCAACGAACAACGTTGTAATGATTTCCATTATACCCCATCAGATGGCGCCAGCGCCTATGTACGTAGAATTTATGAAATAAATCGTAGATAGAGTTTTAGAGTAGTCAAACTCTTTGATTAATTTTAAATAAGAAAGTTTGATATCGGGCATTTTAATATGAACTCTCAGAAAAGTTTTCCAACTCTATCTCCCTGGTCTAAAAGTATAGTAATAAGTTGCATCGAACATTCAAAAAGACGGCAAACTTTGACAGCAAGGAAATGACGCGGTGAATTGCAAGAGACGAGATTTAAAAGGGAAATTTACCTTACGTCCGAACGTAAGCTTGAAGAAAAAGTTCAGAATACCATTGGGGATGCGAGTGCCAAGCGCGTGCTGAAGGTTCACCTTGTAACCCTTCAGAACCTGGTCAAGATTCTTGGTGCGCCAGCACGTGACCACCCAGACAAGGTGGTTCTCAATCATCGATATCATTGCGTGAGAAACGCTTCGTTGCTCGGACGTCAGTCCTACATCCAGGTCTTTGCCGAATTTCTGGCTCAGCTCACGAAGAATGATCGTGCTGTCCGCAATCTCCTCGCCATTCAATTCGACGAACGGCAGCGCGCCCTTCTTGGAGCGAAATTTTATCTTATGGTCCACATTCTGTAACAGTAAAGAAAAACCAACAAACTTTAGATTTCTACCTCCTTTTAATTTGCAGTTTTAATATTCTTCATATTCGATCAGTAAATGAGACCTTTTTCTTTTTGTGGTTATGTGAGGTTACAATTTTTCTATCGTTTCTATTCTACGAGTGTTACGATACCTTCGACGATACTCGTATGCATTAATTACAATAGAACACCCTGCATAATGCAAATAATTTTTCTTCGAATGGATACGATGATTCTTTCAATGCTGAAAAGCGCGTATACGCATGGGATCGGAAGCCTCTGCGATACAAACGGTGGATTCACGAGCAAAAAAACCGGAAAAAGTAAAACAACACTAAGGGGCTTCGATGGCGTGGTAGCTAAGGCACCCGCCTCCTGACGCAGTTGACTCGAGTTCGAATCCCCCTGGCGTAGACGAAAAATAATACGTTATACTTTAATTTCCCGTTCTACCACTTTTACCCGCGAAAAAAGCATTTTTCTTCGTACGTATAAATTTCTAGATACGAAACGAGCATTGGTTATTATGGCGAAAGGTTAAACAGGCACTTAACCAGTGCATCGAGTATACAAATAAATGCACCTGCAACACATGCTCTATTTATACGCACCAGTACCCCACACATGGAGTACATCATAAGTCAATAAGATATCTGGTGTCCTTTACAGGTGGATCATGTTGCAAAGCACATATGAGTATTGATAACACCCGCCGATATTCGCTTACCAAGATTTTTCAAGCGTATATGTACGTTCTGAAGTGGTGAACAATTTTCGTCGAATATCGATAAATTTCACAAAATAATGCGTCTCTACGTAAATAAAATGTGATATTTTAGTTGGCAATCATTCGATACGGATTGGGTATAACAATGGATCGGTGGTAGAAGTGAAAATTAATACGGATGTGGTCCACTTTCTTGGAACTCGGTTTACAATGGTACGATTTAAAACAACTGCCAATGGGAATCACATCTATATCGCCGAGATTTCACCTGAGTACATAGGAAACTTTCTAGCTACTTGGCCATCTGTTAGAACATTTTATTGTGAATGAACAGTGACCTAGAATAACGTTGTGAAATTTCTCGATTTACGACCTTTTTTCCAGCAAAATTGGTACAAGATGATAAATGACACAATGTGCGTCCACTTGAGATAAATAGCGAACATTATTTCGCGAGAACAGGGTCTTGACCATATATCTCATAGATCTTGCACATATTAAACTTCTGCAATTCAACGTCAAGTCTGTTGCTCATTTCAAATTTAGAACACAGCTGCTTGTAATATGAACAAAAGAATCATTCAAATTTCCACATGACAACTTTTTAAAACTCTGATATTACAATTGCTTCGTGTTAAAATTGACGTGTACCACACTCTACGATAAAATCCTGCAAAAACCTTTTAAATATCTTACAATTTAAGTAAAAGCTTCCACGCCAACACGACTTTCCAATACAGCCTTTTGTCCAGAAATTACTACCTTCAACAGAGAAAAGTTCTTAATACCTTTCTTGCCTTTCAATCAGAGCGCGTATTCAAAGTCGTGCAAGCATGAAGCTCAAACTTATTAACACAGTTGCATAAAATACCGCTTGGCGTCACTGTCATGTCGACAGATTTGCAAAAGGATCGAGGGCGCGAGGTATAGAGTAAAGAAACGTTTCTCGTGTCAATCACTGTTCGACAAGTGGAACACGCGGCACGCGGACGCGCTCGCGTCTATAGAAATCACCTGAATTAACCGTACAATAATGCACGAAGAGACCGGAGCATCGAGTCCGGTCCCACGAAAAGGGGAACAACGTCGCGATATACGTGGGAATACCTCTTCGGAAAGAGCTCATCATCGTCGGCAATCAGCGAATGCAGTTGCGCCGTCATCGGAAATAAACGAAAGTAAGTCGAATAGGAAGATCCCTAGGGAGGAGGGATGGGGAGGGGGGGCGTTGAGGACAAGCCCTAAAGACCAACACGCAGCCTCCGTGCGCATCTTCGTGTGAGTGATAATGGCGATGATAGAAACGACCGACGACGACGACCACGACGACCACGACGGAGGTGCAACGGCTGTTTTGCAATGTGAGCGCGTCGTGATAATGATGAGTAACGAACAAGAAGGGTAGGAGTGGGAGATGGGCTGAGAAGGGAAACAGGGGGAAAAGGGAGAAGACGAAGGGGAAACGAAGAGCGGCAGAGGATGTATGCCAATGCGAATTCCAGGGAGGAGAAAGAGTCTAGGGAGAGAAACGGCGAGTGAGAAAGAGGGAGAAAAAAGGACAAACAATCGACGGGGAGAGCAAATGGAGAAAAAAGGGAAGCTTAAACTGGAGAGGACCAAAAGAGAGGGGAAAAAAAAAGAGGAACGATACACACGTGCAACGCGGTAGCCGGAAAGATAAAGGGATATGGAGAAGATACTACCACAGGCGATGTATAAGATGGACCTATCATCCAATGTAAATTTGTGTCACACGGTCCGGGGGCTACGTAGCTCCCGTTACCATTCTCATGTCAGATACGACGTTATCGATTGATAAAGGAATAATGTTACAACGCTACTAAGACGGAAGGAATTGCAACTAAACTACTCGATAGTCAATTATTCAAAATCTATAGAACACAGATATAGACATCGCCGTTTCAAAATCCCATAAGAACAGGATCAAAATTATTACAGCAATTTATCTACATGCTTTTGAAATATGATAGCGTTTGAAATACTGAAGTCAATGATATATCGTTGAACGTAGATGATTAACAGTTTATGAGATATTTAATATCGAAATTTAACCTAAAAGTATTAATAGTGTATGCTCAAAATCGTACTTTATTAGCTTTAATATTTTATTGAAAAGGTTTATAAAAAAGTCGGTGTATCATTTCGAATCCTTTTGTACTATCATTTCGCGCAACGAAGGAGGCTATCGTATTACGACGAGTAAGACCGGGCAAAAATAAACAACGTTCAATCCACGTGCAACGATTCAAGGATAAATACTTCTACCTTCTATCAGATCTCTATGAAATCGCTTACCAATGAATTACTGAGATTCTCCCGATTAGAATGCAACGTCTTTCGTACTATATCATAAAAAAGCAACAAAATTTATTCAAGAAAGTCATACCAATTTACTGGTAATATTTTCATCAGACTATAAAAAAAGGCATAAGAACGCAGTTTTTTATTAGTGACGCTTCATCTCACACGCGTCCTATTGCTCTTGGCAACCCGCCAATAGTTCCTATCCAAGCAGTATATTACAGACGGAGTGTAGGACTATGTATATCCATCTTATACCTCGTCTGTGGTGCTATATTTTTGTTTCCGATGAAACAGAAAAGGTTTTTCTTCCATCTACCGACTTTAACGATTGGTCTAAATATAATTCGTAACCATTCTAAATCGTAACTGCTAAAACATAACCTTTGATTTTACTTCACTATCGGTATTTCCAAACAAGTGACTCAAACTTCCATAAGACGATAGTTCTATCCTGTATACCTCGATAGTGATACTGCTCTCTGTTCGTTGGAATATTATTGAAAACGGGCATTCATGCTGGACGTTGAACTCGTGCGGTGTGTTCGAAACAAACACCCGAGCATGGACGATGGAAAAAGAAAGGAGAGAAAAAAAAAAGAATGGGATACAAAGCGGTGGCGAGCAGTGGGCTCCGAAGCCGTACCCGGACGGGCAATGACTTGACCAGAAAGCGCGAAAATCCGATACTCCGTGGCGGAATTAAATATCCTCTGGCGTAAAATCGATGAACGCGGTCGGTACTGATTAATTCGCGGGGTCCACAGTTCAAGGAGATGGCGCGCGCGACAGTCGCGTTGCACCGGCGACGGCGACGATCGTTAAAAACGTCCGCGCGCGCATTCAAAAGCGCATAATAACCCCAGGGTGGAGAGCGAGAAAGATAGAGGGAGAGAGAGAGAGAGTGAGAGGAAGAGGAGAGAAAGAGCGAACCGCCGGCGGAATATATCGCGGAGAAGCGTGTATCAATTTCGAGAGATGAAAAGTCGAGCAGAGGCGGAAGGTAGGTGGAGTACAAATTACCGCGGGGCAGCTGCCCTCCGCAGGCAGGCAGCAAGCAGCAGCAGCAGCTCGCGGTTCCAGCCAACTCGTCGGATACACACGACCCCGCAAACCGCGCATGCGCCTCGTCTGTGTACGTTCGCCTGCACCGTCGAGGGGAGGCTGGGATTGAAGAGGGAAAACAAACCGACGGGCGAGAGGGAAAAATAAACGCGTGAACCGAGTAAGACGAGAGAGAACAGAATCAAAGGGGATAGAGAAGAGATAACCGACCAAAGTAATTTTCTAGGAACGAAGAGAAACCTGAGGGAGATATCTGTATATGTGCTCTAGGGTGGCGAATGAAGAAAATCGAACTGGACCTTACGGAGATATAGAGAGAGAGAGGGCAGCAGCAGCCGCCGCAGAAAACGGGAGTAGGAAAAAAGCATCGAGAGCGCGCGGCACAAGCCAACGGTGGAACGAGGGAAAATACGAAACCAACCCGAAGAGAAGGATAGATAGATATATGTACTACATAGAAGAAAGGAGAAACAGATTGAAAGAGAGAAAAAGATAAAACGAGAATGTAAAAGAGAAGCCAGAGAAGAGGGAATCAGGGAGTGGTACAACAGTGAG